CTTTTTATCATACAGACCTCGGACAGAATACGGTATTTCACAATTTTTCAATGTTCAGGACGATCAATCGTGGGCTTTTAGCGAAACCGTTCAAAAAATTTCCAAAATCACCCATACGGCCAGCCGGTTCTCATTTTTAGTGCGAGCTGTCAGTGTGGTCGCGTGTTTGAATGAACTTTAATGGAGATACGCTTCAACATAATAACGAATTTATTATCATTATTTTTTGTTATTTAATGATTCCAGTTATAACGATGTGTAATCTTATAAAGCGTTTGATAGGCGCGACATTTCTAAGTACTCCTGCAAGCGATGTTCATGAACGATGAAAACAAACACCACGGACAAGCGATTAACATTGCAAGCGAGACTACTAACGATCAATAAAAGAAATACACTTACAGAGACAACAATTTTCATTCACGAAGACAAGTATTAAAGTGTCTGAGCCGTTTAAGCTTTAAGCTTAAGCTTAAGTTTATTTTGTTTTACTTTCAGCCGGCCTCCCGGTGTTTGTTTTTTTTTTTCAAAGATGAACTCCTCGAAGCAAGAAAATCACTCAAAGTTTTCTTTCTACAGCCAAATTTATAACTAAATATTCTTCGGAACGTTTTTTTCTCTATTTGCCGTGAGAAAATATATCTGAAGGCCTTTTAAAGTTCTGTAAGCTTATATCAAACCTGGTACTAGATCAGATTATTGACTCAAATCTTAAACAAACGTGCAAAAACTTGCCGCATAAACTGTGCTCGACTTCATGAAATTAGATACAACAAAAACAAACATCAAATACAATAATTACTCAGGCTTACCATTCGAGATTCAGTTCCTGAAAGATATCAAGGAAGGCCATAGTTGCTTGAGACTTTTAAACCCTCTTACGCTTTGAGCAAGGTGAAAGACGAAAACGATGCCATCCGAAATCGACAAGCAATTGACAAGCGACGCATTTCTCAACCAAAAACCCAATAAACAAACCAGCCATGGATAACAGAAGACTCTTGATAGCAGCTGTATTTCATTTTGTACATCCAGAGGAAAAAGACAGTTAAAAACATCACAAGTTGACACAAAACTCTGTCAGCTTCAGCTGCCAAAGTAAACAACTTTCAAGATGCTGCATAAATTTTACGCATGAACTCACCTGTCAAATTTTGACCAATCAGAGTACAAAAATTGGACGTAGAGCGTGACCAAGGTCTTCCCCGCCTTTATTTTTAAAAAAGTGGCTGGATTTTAGCGTCCGAGGTCAGTTTGAAATCAAAATCTTGACAGTGCGGGGCCATAGTGACATAAACACAACATGTTTCATATGAATCATTGGAAAAAATAGACTTGAGCCTGCGATCATTTGAAACTGGTAATTTGTCAGCGGATAACTTCAAAAAAGTACTCGACCTCGATGGGTCGACACTTGAGCCCTCGCTACGGTTAGGTGATACTGGTCAGCGGATATCCTGTTTTGACAGCTGTCAATTGATCACGACATTGATGTGCAATTAGTTTTCTATTGGGCTCCCAAACTAGCAAGAAAGTGTGAGAGTAAACATTGGTTTCCCTGTGGTGCGGACGGACGGTCGTACGGTCACGTGATTACCAAATTTTCTCGGATGGGTAGATTACCACATTTCCTTAGCTATGGGGCTCCGTCCACGCGCGCGCTTCGCGCGCGGGTGGAGCTCCGCTATAACAGTCCAGTTTCGAATTAAAAATTACCGCTGAATATAAACATCCCCCCCGACACATTCGCTTCTTACAGGGTTAGCCTCGGCATACAGTAAAATATTCAGAAAAAGGACAATTGCACGATGACGTCATTTTACTACAACTACCAGAATTCTTGAGTTTGTTGTTTTCTTGTGCAAATTAAGGCTATTGTTCTTTAATCCTCAGCGGGATTGGCAATTTTAAATAACAAAGCAAAAACGAAATGAATTCTGGTAGTTGTAGTCAAATATCGTCATCGTGCAATTGTCCTATTCTGGCAAGTAAGTGTTTGAAATTTGAATAAGGCATGGGTCGCACTTGGCAAATTTCTGGAAGAATTTGTTTACCTTGCGGTAAAAATCTGTCATCGGGCACATTGCCAAGTGCGACCCCAAGTTTTCAAGTTGGAAAAAACTTTGAAAATCGTGAAAAACATCAAAGACGTCGTATTGCTTGGGTGGGGCAGGCAGATTTTGGAAAACTCGAGCTAAACAAAAGGAATCACGGCGGTAAGTGTCAGCACTTGTCAGCGAAACGTGACCAATTTGAAACACGATCAATTTGAATCAATCGTGGAAATTTTCTGACCTTCGCGTTTTCATTGTGGACGGACAAGGCTACCACTACTTTTCGCCACTACTTTCTACGGGCGAGCAATTCATAAGCTTGTAATCCTTCGCTATTTCAACGCTTTTACGGGAACTCTCTACAGGCGAGCCAATTATAGTCTACCCAGGCAACGTCACAGGTTTGTTATTCTCCGAGCTAAATGCAGTCTTTGCAGCCAAGCACTTTATTTTCTCTATTTCTCCAATCCTCCTGAAACTAGGAAAGGAGGAAAACGATCCTACGCCAAATGATCGGACTACGAAGAGATAATGTTCTCTGGTATCTGGCCTACTTTAGTTGTCAATGTGTCAAAACAACGACAATTAACTCCCACTAGTAAATACTAGTGCGACCCTCCTCGATTTGACTAAAAGTTTTCTTTTCCGGTTGCGGTTTCGAATTTTCGTGGTTTTTTAGCCGGCAAAGATGAAAACTTTTCCCAAGTGCGACCTATGCCTAATATACACAATAGACAGAGTAATAAACAAGTCTTTTTCTGGTTGGAATTTGTGAATATATTACTTCAGATTGAGGCTAAGGCTGTAAAAAAGGCGTCTTCACTTCTTTAATTCAGCGGTCATAGCGAACTCGAAAATGGACTATTTTAACAGCTGACCTCATAATCAAATGCATAACAAATGAAAATGAATAGTTCCTATGCATGTTTACCTCACACAAGCACATTCACCACTAAGCCTGATTGTGAAATTAAAAATTAGCGAAGTTTCAAAAAATTATTTTCCGAGGCAGTATAGTTGAAATGAATACCCACGCACAAAAAAGGTGCAAATGCAAAAAATTTAGCTCACAAAGGAACCTTGGTGTTGAAATTTACTCGTCCTACCGTAATCATGAAGAAAGGGCTATTGAAATTGCTAGACATTATTTAACAAATCGACCACATTTTAGACCATAGAAATGACGTCATAAAATGTTCAAAACTCAAGTGGAACCACGAGCTGCTGGCGAGTGGTTTCACTGCAAAGTTTTGAACATTTTATGGCCTCATTTCTATGGTCTATAAGAGTGTAGACCATGGAAAATTGTGGTTGATTGGGTTTTTACAATAACATTTATTTTTTTTACGAAAAACCAAAAACAAAACAACCGACACTGAGAGACATGTTACGTTATTTGCATGGTCTATACTCTCATAGACCATAGCTCTCTCCCAATAAGCGCGCGAGGATTCGCTCAGTTATTGTAAAAAATGAAGCTGAATTTTCTACCTAAAATCATACGTCACCGTTTCGGTTCACTGCAAAACCTCAAGGACTAAATAAGGAGACAAGTCAAGACAGACAAGACAAGACAAGATGGTTTATTAAAGTCAGCTCAGTTTTACATGACATAAAGATTAAATTTACATAGGCATCTAACCACAGTGCAACTATGGAAAAAAAGAAAAATTGTGACAACAAAACAAAGAGCGAGTTGGAATCATCCAAATAGCAAAGGCTGATCTAGTGGATGACCCCTGCAACAAAATACAATTTCAGACATTATTAAGAATGTATATATATTCTTTTCATAAAAAGTATTTCTTTGCACGCTAAGTGAGATAATTAATTAGAATAACAATTGAGGATAGAGGTTTTAAGGGTTTTAGGAAATATTCTGTTACGCAAGTAATATTTTAGAGGACGGGTAGCTTGCAGACCAAACTGAACGCAGGGTTGTCGGAACAGCAACAAGAAGATTTATTCCAAAAATGAACGTAGTTTCTACGAAGTAAAACTCCACAACAGCACGTAACTCAATAAACTTACACGGCCTCCGCCAACTTAAATTAACTTGATGAAATTACACGGCCTCCGCCAACTTCAATAAACACTGCTTCCGTCGCACTTGACTAAACACGACTAACGTCAAACTCTCTTCGCTTATGAAAACTAGTTAAAACTTAACTCGGACTCGCCTACTTATATACTTTCACAATAACATTCTACAACTTTCTAAATAGTCTAATTATAGAAAGATTACAAAATATGCCGCTTTAGAAACGCTTACACAAGATCTTAAAATAAACAAACTATGAACTCTCGCGAAGCTTCTAGAAAGTCACGCTAGTCACGCAATACAATATTTCGTAACATATTCTAAGCCGTGAATTTGAATTATTTATACTTGTAAGCAAGGAGTTTCAAAGGCGAGGACCAGTGGATTTTAGGGAGCGTAAGCCATATTGGGTGGTATTAGACAGAAGTGCTTTAACGTCTTCTGATAATTTTTTACGATTACAAGTGTTTGTTTATAAGTAAATGTTTCTTTTTGTAGGTATTTACAGGAAAACGTGCTAAAAGCGCTGCCTTTAGAGGTGTTCAAAGGCCTCCAGAGTCTAAAGTATTTGTGAGTAGTTTCTTCTACCTTGTTATATAGATCTAATGTGAAACAAAATTTCTTTTGTTTCAAAAGGTGCGTTACAGAATAGTTTGCCCAAAAACTCGGAAAGGCGTTGAGTTTGTATGAGATTAGATTTAGCAAACAGGACAAATTATTATTATTATTATTATTATTATTATTATTATTATTATTATTATTATTATTATTATTATTATTATTATTATTATTATTATTATTATTATTGTCTCTATTATCACAGTCTTTGCTGGTGTTCTTTTTGTGCATCAGCCGGGCGCAAACCATGCACCTAGAGCGTCAGTCACTCAAGTCGATCATTCTGTTCATACACTGAGCACCTTTCTGAGGATTCGTGCAGATCCCAGCATGCAGATCTTTTGAATCTCTGTCATATTAGCTCTTTCTGATACTTTCTTGATGTTTTCTACCATACCCTTCTTCACTGTACCAAGCGCACCAACAACCACAGGGATCACTACGGTTTTCATATGCCACATTCTCTGTATTTCTAGTTCTAGGTATTTGTACTTGCATTTTTTTTCAGTTTCCTTCAGTGCGATGTTTCTATCTGATGGAACAGTCATATCAATAAGTTTGCAGGTGGAATTCACTGAATCTTTAACGATGATATCTGGTCTGTTCGCTGTTATAGTTCTATCAGTATTGACTGGCATGTCCCACATGATGGTGATGTTGTTATCTTTATTATGTATCACGGTCTCTGGTTCGTGTTCGTACCATTTGTCTGTAATCTCTATATCATGATCTTTACATATGCTCCAATGGAGATATGCTGCAGCATTATTGTACCTGGAGATGTACTCTGTTTTGGCTAATACCTCACATCCAGATACAATATGGTCCACTGTCTCTTCATGTTGCGAACACAATCTGCATTTGCTCTCCACTTGCTGGCCACATATTACTTTCTGGTAGTTTCTGGTGTTTATTGCCTGGTCTTGAGCTGCAACAAGTAGTCCCTCTGTTTCTCCTTTCAAATTACTTGACAACCATTTGTTGGTGGTGACTGTGTCTACATGAGGCTTCTCTAGGATCTTTGGATACTGGCCATGCAATGCTTTGTTTTTCCACTTTTCGTCTTTCATTGACTTCATCCTGGACTTAAACACGTGTTTCAGGGCTTTAGCATTTTCAGAGGCAGATTTATCTTCTCTGTTCTCAGTCTCTGGCATTGTTACTTCCCTTTTGAATTTAGTAGCGTTCTTGGATATTGAATTTTTGGCTTTAGATCTTTCATGTTCAAGCACCTGCTTTGGATATTGCCCTTCCTTGAGCTTCAGATAGTGATCAAGCCCTATTGTTGCAGTTTTGAATGCTGTTTCTACATCAATCAGTCCCCTACCTCCATCTTTTCTTGGGTTGACAGCCTTTCCACATCTGCTTTAGGATGTAACATCTTGTGCATGTTCAATAGTTTGCGTGTTTTTGTGTCAATCTTCTTCAGTTCTGAGATTTTCCAGTCAATGATGCCAAAGCTATATTGCACAACTGGGACTGCAAGACTATTGATAGCTTCTATTTTGTTTCTTCCATTGAGCTCAGTTCTTAGGATTAATCTTACTCTCCTATTATATTCTTTTCTTATCTTCTCTTTCATTTTGCTATGCTGGATACCATCACTTTCATCTACACCCAGGTATTTGTATACTCCTTCCTGGTCCAACTCTTGTATTTCTGTGTCATCATCTATTATTATGTTTCCAGTTGAGGCCAGTTCACCTTTCATGAAACTGGCTTTGGCACATTTCTCAAGTCCAAATTCCATACCAATATCATCACTGAATTGTTTCACTATTTTCAGTTCTCCAACTTGTTCTTGCTCGTTCTTGCTATACAATTTTAGATCATCCATATAAAACAGATTGCTTATTGGAGCACTTGTGTTTAAGATCTTGTAACCATACCCAGATGTAGCCAGCTCTGATGTTAAAGGCACAAGGGCTAGGAAAAATAGCAGAGGTGAGAATGAATCTCCTTGAAAGATCCCTCTTTTGATCTTGATTTGATCTGTTGTGATACATCCATCATTGTAAGATAGCTTCATCGTAGTTTTCCAGTTGCTCATTGAGGTTCTCATGAACTTGATCAGTTTTTCATTAAATCTGTAAATCTATAAGGTCTTCAGTATCCAGCTGTGAGGAACACTATCATAGGCTTTTCTGTAGTCTATCCAAGTCATACTCAAGTTCTTTTTCTTCTTTTTGCAGTCTTCTATGATCTTTGCATCCATATGAACCCCTGACACAACCTCTCTGTTTGGTAGTAAATATGTTTGTGCTGTAGTGAGCCAATCAGGCAGATTTTCTGGGTTTTCTATTGGTTGGTTATATGCATTCAGTAGGTGTTGATGTAGTGCGCTTATTATTATTATTATCATTATTATTATTATTATTATTATTATTACAAGTGATATCGATAAAAGTAAATTATAATTATTTTACACTATATAAGAATTCGAGTTTAAACCTTAAAATAATTTGATCAAAAAGGGAACTTAGCGTTTTCGTCTTTTTTCGGTGCCGCATACAACGATTCGAGGTTGTCGGCTATAGTGAGAAGTGATTCCATTTGCTTTTATTGAAATGCATGGATGAAAATTGATCGCTCTTTTTGATATACAAATTATGTCCAGTGACATACAAATCATGTCAAAGAGAAAGTAAAATCAACTATTACAGCTAATACTTTAGTCGCGGCACAGGCCGATTAAGAAAATGGATTGACAAAGAGAGATACGATTTGCTCTTATTGAAAAGAAATAAACAACTTAATAACAGCCTGCAAGCCACTAAGCTGAAACTTATGTCATGTTAGGCCCCTTTCAAACGCTGAATTTCCTATGAGTGCCGAACACCTATTTTAGTCGATGAAAGTAATTAAATACGGCAGATGATTCAGACGTCGGTTATGATTGTGCCGGGTTTAACTCCGTTTGTTGTATATATTCCCAGTCTCTCAAAAAATTTTTTATTCAATATGGATAAGGGTTTCTATAATTAATGCATTATATTCGGGACATGTGAAATGCGACTTCTAAATCAAATGTTGAACCTAAATATTCCCTTATTTAAACCTAAATCTAGACAAAGGACATTCTTTTACCGTATAGTAAGTTTGTGGAACAGTTTAGATAATTCCCTTAAACTCTGTAACTCTGCTCGTAATTTTAAGCGGAAACTTAGAGCCGAATTGTTTTCTGCTTTCTTATCTTATCGGTCATAGTTTTTATCATATCTATTTATAGCATTTTTTAAAGTTTCTGTTTCAGTTGTAATTCTATTGAATATTTCTTAGCTTTCGTAATTTTTTTTATTATAAAACATTTTATTATTGTAATTTTTAGATTTACTCTCGTTTCAACGTTAGTGATTATCACTGTCATTTATTCACTGTCAATTAAAGTTTGTATTGTTGTATTGTATCTACTCGCGTAATTTGAGGATGGTTGAGTCATAAGAAAAACGTCTTTTTGTGGTATAGTTAGGATATCTGCAATCCGGTAATTTTCTTTTTAAAATCGAAACGCGAAGTTTTACAGTGAACGAAATTCCTTCAGTGTATTGGAATTCCCATCGACTCTGTAATTTTCAACTTGAACCGGAACTTCTGGCAAGGTGCAAAATTTGCTTATTACCTCATAAGTCAGTGAAACATTTCCTTCGGCTTTAGCGCAAATGGTGGCCAGTTTCATAAAACTTGATACGATTCCTAGACATTTTCCTTTAAGTTTTGAAGAAAAAAATATATGAATAACCTATGTTTTGTGACTCCCGAAAAAAGTAAGCGCGAAGCCGGATGACTGAAATACAGGTTTTTCACTTAGGTGAATGATTCATTTTGGAAGGCTCTATACAACGCACTCAAGTCAAATATTTTTTCTTGAATTATGTTACCTTAGAACATGACGTTACTTTTACTTTCAGTGTAAAAATTATCCTTTTAAGTTTCTAAATTCGCTTGCTGAAGACATAATTCCTCGCTAAATACCACACCTACAATCTTGGACAAAAATGTTAAGAAAAATGCACCTTGTATGTTTAATTTTGGAATAATTTCCTCCAAAGCCCGGTTCACTAAAGATACTTCCCCCCCCCCCTCCCCCCTAAAAACAATGTTGAAGGGTGACCGGTACATTTCTGCTCCTGACTTAACAACACTGACCAGGGAGGGGTGGGGGAGAGGCGGGGCCAACATGATGCTAAATTCACCGGGTGGGTCTTCTGTGAGTAAGAAATTGTAAAATTCTTAACACTTTTTGTTTACAGTTGTAGATAGCTTAACAATCGTGGGCACTTTCTGAAGGTTTTACGTGTTTTTTTTTTCTGATTTAAGAATCTTATACAAAAACGTTTTTTATTTATTTATTTAATCGTTACATAAATGCCCTCAATTAGGAAGAAAACACAATAAATTCTCTCAGTCTTCACTAGCCCATGCTGTACGGGGCTTCAAACTCGAGCAACACAACAGGAAGCACATACAACCTCGTTTCCATGTTGCCCAGTATTAGTCTTTATAGGGCTTTAAAAAACCCGTTTTTCGTCAACTTTTTTGTAGGTATTTGCAGGAAAACTTGCTAAAAGCGCTGCCGTTAGAGGTGTTCAAAGGTCTCCAGAGTCTAAAGTATTTGTGAGTATTTTCTTCTAATTGTTATATAGATCTAATGTGACGCAAATTTTCTTTTGCTTTAAAAGGTGCGTTACGGAATAATTTGCCGAAAAACTCGGAAAGGCGTTGAGTTTGTATGAGATTAGATTTAGCAAACAGGACAAATTATTATTACTATTCTTATTCTTATTCTTATTCTTATTATTATTACAAGTGATATCGGTAAAAGTGAATTATAATTATTTTACACTATATAAGAATCCGAGTTTAAACCTTAAAATAATTTGATCAAAAAGGAAACTTGTAGTTTTCGTCTTTTTTCGGTGCCGCATACAACGATTCGAGGTTGTCGGCTATAGTGAGAAGTGATTCCATTTGCTTTTATTGAAATGCATGGATGAAAATTGATCGCTCTTTTTGATATACAAATCATGTCAAAGAGAAAGTAAAATCAACTATTACAGCTGATACTTTAGTCGCGGCACAGGCAGATTAAGAAAATGGATTCACAAAGAGAGATACGAATTGCTCTTACTGAAAAGAAATAACTTAATGACAGCCTGAAAACCACTAAGCTGAAACTTATGTCATGTTAGGCCCCTTTCAAACGTTGAATTTCGTATGAGTGCCGAACACCTATCTTAGTCGATGAAAGTAACTAAATACGGCAGTTGATTCAGACGTCGGATATGATGGTGCCGGGTTTAACTCCGTTTGTTGTATATATTCTCAGTCTCTAAAAAAATTTCTTTTTCAATATGGATAAAGGTTTCTATGCTGTACGGGGCTTCAAACTCGAGCAACACAACAGGCAGCACATACAACCTCGTTTCCATGTTGCGTAGTATTAGTCTTTATAGGGCCTTAAAAAACCCGTTTTTGGCGAACTTTCCCTACTCGGATTTTCCGGGACTTTTGATATGTTCTAGAGTACATTGTGTTCCTGGACCAAAAACCGTTTAAAAACCTTCTTTCGCAACTAGTGGCAGGTTGACCGACTTTTGAAGATAATATGCCTGGACTATAAAAAGAAGCGATGTTTTCTCTGTGTTTTAACCAACCATACTCCGGACAGCTGCAAATACAACGATTCAGAGTCTTTCAACTAAATGTCATTTAACGGGTCATTTGCAGTCTGAGTGCCGCAACGTGAAACCGCCAGCGAAACAGTCGTCAGCATATACGTCACACGGATCAGGACTCTGGAGATGAAGTGCCCGACGACACAGGAGATGAGTTTCTCGGGTCCATGTTCGTGCAGAACGGTACGCCCTCCTTTACTCGGAAGATCCCGAATGATGAAAATTAGCCTAGATTGGGTAAACCTCTTTCCATCTGTTCACGGTAAGTTCTCCGTGAGTCAAGATACGGATATATGGGTCGAACGTCTTAACAAACTGTACGCTGAAGTCTTTAAGCCGGAGCTGGGAACTGTTAAAGGTGTCACGGCGAAATTGCACCTAAAGGGAAACGAAACACCAGTATTTCAGGGGCCACGCCTAGTACCCTACGCCCTTCGTTTCGCTGTAGAGGAAGAACTGAAACGCGTGGAAAATGACGGGGTTCTCAAGCCTGTAGAAGCGAGCAACTGGGCCTCGCTCGTTGTTTGTGTTCCCAAAACTGACGGTTCAGTCGTATATGCGGTGAATATAAAGGCAAAGTCAACCCAGCTATTCAGACGGAGCAGTTCGCTATCCCAGCGTTGGAGGAGATACGACGGCGTGTATCTTCATCGAATAAATTCGCGAAGATTGATCTTCGAAGAACGTATCAGCAACTGGTTTTAAACGAGGAGTCTAAAACTGTGACCCACAAAGGTCTATTTCGGTACAGGCGGTTGCCGTTCGGAATTTCATCGACCCCCGCTATTTGGCAACGTTTTATAGACCAAGTGCTCGCAGGTCTCGACGGAACTTAGGCAATCATGGACGATCTGCTAGTGGGAGGCTCTGACGACGATGGTCATCTGAAGAATTTAGAGGCAGTTCTTTGTCAGTTTCAGAAGTATGGACTGCGAGTAAAACTACCGCGGTGCGTGTTTATGGCACAATCCGTTATTTACTTTGGATTTCGCTTCTCAGAAAAGGGTCTTCAGCCAGGTTGCGAAAAGGTCAGGGCCATCAAGGAAGCACCTGCCCAAACCAACTTCATCCCCAAGTTATCGACCCTTGCCCATCCTTTGCCCCTAGGAAACAAGTCGTGGAATTGGTCGCCGAACTGCGAAAAGGCCTTCTCTGATGTAAAATGTGCGCTGACATCAGAAACTGTGCTAACGCATTATAACCCTTGCCTTCCTGTTAGTTAGCGGTGGACGGTTCCCTGTCTGGTTGGGTGCGGTCATTATGCATGAGTTTCCCAGCGGCGAACAACATCCAATTACCTATGTGTCACGGACATTGAACGAGCACGAAAAGCGCTATGGACAAATAGACAAGGAAGCTTTGGCGACAATGTTTGCGCTGAAACGGTTTTTCGCCTTTCAACTACAGCATTAAGTCCTTTCCATCAAGGCAAAATGCAGTGGCTGACGCTCTGTCAAGACTGCCCTTGCCGTCAACGCCCAATGACGAAGATTCTGCACACAATGTTGAAGAGCGGCTGATCCAGTCCTAACCCATTACGCATAAGGAAATAAGGAAATGCCACGAGAGTAGACCCAGTACTCTTGAAGGTGTTAGAATAAATTATGTCGCTCACGGTTGGCCAAAGCACGTGAAAGATTTGCGCATCCAACCCTACTTTAATCGTCGATTCGACTTGTCTGTACTACAGCAAGACTGTCTTTTGTGGGGACTTCGGGTAGTTATACCTACTCGGTACCAGGAAGACATGTTACAAGAATTGCAGTCAAGCCACCCAGGGATTGTACGAATGAAGGAGATGGCACGTAGTTACTTATGGTGGCCTAACATCGACCAAGAAGTTGAACAAACTGTGAAAAATTGCGAAAGCTTCCAACAAGTTAAGAAGCCACCAGCTTTAACACCACTTACTCCTTGGTTATGACCGATCGAGTAACCCTTAGCATCGCATTCATATAGATTACACTGAAGACGAAAACGCGCATTACTTCATCATTGTTGATGCACATTCTCGCTGGCCAGCGATCTACTTTGTGCACAAAAACACGTTAGCAACCGCGACCATTGCTATCTTACGGCAACATTTTTCCATTTACGGATTACCGGTGCATTGCGTTGGTAACAGTGGTCCACAATGTCGCAGCGAGCAGTTTGCACACTTCTTAAAGATGAATGGTTTTAAGCATATACGTGTAGCACCCTATCACGCAGCCACTAACGGATTGGCCGAAAGAATCGTTCAATCATTCAAGTATCACAGGAAGGCGAGTAAAGGCGGGAAGCTTTCCATCCAGCAACGAATTGCTAACTTCCTGTTAGCATACAGGTCAACAACACATTCCACTACAGGCAGGACACCAGCTGGCCTGTTCCATGGACGGGAACTTCGCACTAGACTGACCCTTCTTTGTCCAGGTGTGGGGGAAAAAGTTATAGATTCACAGTCGAAGCAGAAGGCAACGCACCACGCGCACGCAAAGTGTAGAGAGTTCTTCCCTGGTAACAGGATCTGGGCAAAAGACCTGCGGAAAGAACACAAGTGGTGGCCGGGCTCATTTGCTGAGCGAACTGGTCCGAAGTCTTAAGAACTATTGCTGAACTACGGAAGGGTTTGGAAGCATCATCTCGACCATATTAGAGAGGGATTCTGAAAGAGTTCCACAGGACGCTGCTCCAGATCCCGTTCCACAAGCCACCTTGAGTCCAGGTGACCCCTCGCCTCCTCCAATTCCCGTAAACATGCCGATCTCGAATCCCGTCGAACTTAGAACGCAAGTGGGCTTGGAGAATGTAAACAATCCTGCACCCGACGTAGAGACGCTATCTTTTCTGGGTACTTCTTTGTCCGAAGCTAGTTCCTTTCCACTGCGCTCTGGTAGAGTACGCAAGGCGCCGGAGTGATTAATTGAGACAATGTAAATATCTGTACGATAAGTTCACTAAGCAGTATTTCTTCGAGTTAAGGAAATCTGCCCCGATGTTGTTTTTCACCTGACAGTTTTGAGACTAATTCACTGTGTTAGTCTCGAATCAATCACAGCCTTAACGCTCAGTTCAGCAAGTTTATAAAATCTCGTTGCACAGTTAGTAGAAACAAAGAAGGGGGGAGATGTGCTGCATGACGTCATACCACGTGCACATGCATTACTTTCTTGGAGTGACTGGTCGCATGCTTTTGTGTATTTTCGATAGCAGAATTTGTAAAGCTTGATCTGTTATTACGCCTTGCGGAACGACGCAGTACGTAACAATACGCTATGATACATACCGCATTTTTTTATATTCCTGTAAACTCTGCATTCAATTTACCACATTATGTTACAAGCTATATGCACCACACGGGTAAAAAAAGAGATTTAAAAAAAAGAAAGAAAAATGAGGTTACGAAAATGTTTTCTTCAAGGGATTTCGAACCCGGACCATCAGAATCAGTTAGAACTAAAAGTTAACGCCTCTATCCACTGGACCACCTCTGTAAACGCTGACAGTTCGAGTTTAAAAGAGGTACATATTCTATCTTTATGGTGATTGACAGTTTTCAAGGATGGCTTTTTCAGACTTTTTTTTTTTAAATTCCGTGTAGAATTAAATCTTTAACTAATCGACGCTAGACGTAAAGCTCACAATAAACCCATTAATACTCTTTCAGGCTTAGTCCATGCCGGGAAACGTTTAAGAAATTTATGAACGTTAACAATCGATCGCGCGGCTACCAACTGAACCGTATGACCGTTCGATTCTCTCCCTGCTCGTAAGGTGTCTTTTCATCGGTCGGGGAAAACATAAACACGACATTGTTCATCATTATTTATATTGTTTTAGGTTAGGGTAGCAAACCATTTGGCTTTTAGGGGTAGAAGAGCTGCTACATGACCTCTCTCCCCGGAATGAAGAAAAACAATATGGCCGCCAAATATATCCTTTTACTTTTTTTAACGTTCTCCTTTATTAACAAACGTTGAACATTAATTTATTTCGGCAAACAAACAGTAAAGTTGAAAAAGGATTTTACAAAACTTTTAAGAGTAGGTCTCCTTTTCGATTTTAACTTGCAATATTATTCAATTTACGCATTTCTTAAACTTCTGGCTCAGTTTTCGTTTGCTTCTGCTTTGAAAATGGAATAATAATTACTTAGAGACAATACAGTCTAAAGAATTTTTGAGAAAAACAACAAAAATTATTATTATTATTACTGTTATTAATAACTTGCGGAGGATTTTGTAACGATGAAGGAAAAGTTATTTTGACCTTAAACCTTGGTCTCGCATATCATTTTTTTACGATATTGGCAAGACTTTATTCGACGTTTGCATAAACATTTTACATTTTTGTATCTATTCATTCCGATTTTAGGCAGTTAGACAGCTTCTCCTTGTGCTGTTATGCTAATACTAAAATTATCAACAAGGACGTGGACTGCAAATACCCATCGTCTTCGCAAGACTCGTTTTCAAGTTGCAATCGCATGATTGAGGACTCAGGTCCAAGAAAGATCATTTGGTTGCTCGGTGTTCTTGCTGTGCTTGGTAACCTGGCTGTAATAGCTTGGCGTCTTATTAGGCGCGACGACCACCCGGTTCAGACCTGTCTTCTGACGAATCTCGCGGTGTCCGACTTTCTCATGGGAGTGTACCTTATGATTGTTGCCATTCAAGATCAAATTTGGGCAGGTATAATTTTCGATCACCAGTGTTTCGGTGGGAGTAATACAAGTTCTTTTTCTACTGACACAGCATTTATGTTAAGCTTGGTTATTTAGAGCTTGGTTAGTAAGAGTTTTCAAATAAAAATGATCAAACAGTACGGAACCCTTAAATGACCTTGAATTTGAAGAGATCACACCTAATTCTTACCTTTTGAGGTCACATCAAACTAAAGCTTGTACACAGGCCTCGACTTGCCTGTTCCAGGCAAGGCAAAGGCACGAGAAAATATACGATCGTGATCTGGGAAAACCTGGGGGTGGTGGCAGTTTCCTCCCGTTTTATTTTCGTGTTCGCTTTCCCAATTTCGCGGGCCCGACTGTCTCGAAGCCTGGAACATTCAGGCTAAACTTCGATCAGGTGTCAATTTAACTAAACTTTTTCTTTTATAATTTACAAGTGTAGCTATTGATTTCAGACTCTAAAACAAATTTGCACACGTAAAAGTTTTATACAATTGACTCCAGCCTTTGCTACTATAATGCACAAAGTGCTTTTTCTTTAAATAATAATATGACCTGGAAGTTATTTTCCGGGTACAGCATACAATACGGTGCAAAGACAGGTGAGTGTTATTATAATACTGAAACAGTGCTTCATTTCCAGGCCACTACTTTAGCTTCGACCTCACTTGGCGATCAGGAACACTTTGTAAACTTGCTGGTGCTTTATCAGTGCTGTCGAGCGAAGTCTCGGTACTAATGCTGACTGTTATAACCGCTGATCGATTGATCAGCATCGTCTTTACATTCAGCTGTCGCCGATTCACGCTAAAGGGAACTTACGTTATTTGTGCAGCCGTCTGGGTCATAGGAATCATCATTGCCGTCACTCCAACAACTGACCTCCCATATTTTTACAACGAGGACAGACAATATGGATTTTACGGTATATCCGCTTTTCAAGTAAAACTCCGCACCATTAATTTAATTTTCCACTACTCTCGGGCTGTTATAATCTAATGGATTAAAGCGTCTTGATCAGTCTACCGTAGTCGAGTGATCTCGAGCAAGTTTCGTTTAGCACATCTTAGTAAACTGTTTGACAGGAAATTGTCATGGCAAAAGAATACTGCGCTCTGTAACTTGTAGGATAAAATGTTCATCGCCATCTTCATCATCATCATTATCATCATCATCATCATCATCATCATCATCATCGTTATTTGCTTCCTGTTGCTCTTCCTCTCTCCTTATCATTATTATTAGCCTGTCATATTATCTGATATTAAAGACCAACTAAAATATGTAATTCGTATTTTGTTTTTCTTTAAGGGCGTTCGTCAGTTTGTCTCCCTCTCCAACTGTCCACAGAAAGGCTGGCCGGCTGGGAGTATTCAGTTGCCATATTTATCGCTTTGAATCTCGCAGCTTTCCTTTTCATCATGACAGCTTACATCGCCATTATTTTTAAGGTGTTTAAGTCACAGAGGAGAATCAAGGCACATGGAGAATCAAAAATCAATAACAGCCTCAACAGAGAGTCGGCCCTCGCACGGAGAGTGTTCGCCATCATCTTAACTGACTTCTGTTGCTGGATTCCTGTGATAATTTTGGGTATTCTTGCCCTCGTTGAGAAGTTCAATGATCCTGAAGGAACGGCCTACGTGTGGTTTGCTGTGTTTGTCCTGCCGGTTAATTCGTCTGTTAATCCTCTGCTTTACACGTTTTCAACACCGAAGGTAGGAGCGCAAATGGGAAACCAGTTAAGAGTCAATGTCAGTAAGAATCGGAGATTATCCCAACACCGCGGACACAGTTCAAAATTCTTTGATATCAATGAAATCCTCCGCTATATATTTTGTTCCCTTTGGGGTCAACAATATGGAGGAAAAGAATTCACGAAATCTTAATTTTGGACTGCACGATGCCATTATGCAAATATGTCGAACACCTGTGCAAATAGTATATTCAGACTTTACGATTGTCAACACAGGATTTAAACTGAAACAATAAAGGTTCTGTCAAAGGATGCCTTCCTAACTGAGAAAACGTTGCCTAGTCCCTGTACGGCGTTTTCCCAGTCCCTCTCGGTCAACTCACTTCGCTTTGACCACGTGACCCGAAACACTTTGGCCGCGCGGAATATTGAGGCCTCGGGACTAGGCAAGGGAAAACTTAGATTTAGACTTAAATAAAGTGATTTAAAAAGGGGTATTGGGATTGAGAACGACATCAACAAGATGCATCAAAGTAATAGCACATTTGCATGATGACGTGACGCGCGCACTGCATGCTGGTATTTGTAGTCAAGAAAAGAACAAAATGATGGCTCGTAGTGGAGGTGGGTTCACTTGTTGTGTCCCAGGCTGCTTTACAAACAATGAAAGAGACCCGCATCTGTCGTTTTATGTTTTCCCAAAGAAAAAGAAGTTGAGGCGTCGCTGGTTGCACTCAATATCGAGGAAAAGTTTCAAGCCGACCACAGGACACCGAGTATGTAGCTTGCATTTCAAAGGAGAAAAAAAACCTACATGAACAATGTTCCTGTTTTTTTTTCCTTCGGCAAAATCTCATCCCAGGCGGCCACCCGAACCAAGGAGAAAACTAATTGTTAACAAATCTTCGACATCCAACCAAGAGACGCAGCCTTCACCTAGTTTACCAGCTTCGACCACTACATCAAAGGCTGATGAGTCCGAGCGTGATTGTCAAGAGATCAGACGATTGAGAGAAGAACTGGGAAACGTTCTACGTTTAAAAGGATCGTTGGAAAGGATCTGTCCATCCTTAAATTTGGTTTAAAGCGTTTTAAAGAATCAAAAAAGGATATGATCTTCTACACTGGCCTGACCTTAGGTCAGTTTGTGGCATTATTCAATTTCCTAAATGCCCATGGTATTTGTTATCGTCTAAATTACTGGGGCTCTGATTATGATAAGGTACAATTACCTGATATAGAAAAGAAGGGACAAAAGCGCCTCTTATAGCCTGATGATTACCTTTTTCTGGCATTGTGTAGATTGAGGGTTAATATACCAGAGAAAGTTCAACTTCCTGTTTGGGCTACGAGAAGAACAGTTGAAGAAACAATGCCCGAAGTTTTTCGGCAGAAATACCCACTCACAAGGGTCGTCCTTGACTGTACTGAATTAATCATCGAAAAGCCCTCATGTTTCCGTGCACAATCTGAAACTTACTCTTCATATAAGTCCCACAATACAGTCAAGGGCCTTGTTGCAACATCACCTAATGGTGCTTTAACCTTTGTGTCAGATTTGTATGGAGGTCATTGTAGTGACAAAGTTATTGTTGAGCATTGTGGCATTCTACAGCTTCTTGAAGAGGGTGATGCAGTAATCTCAGATCGTGGTTTTGAAATCCAAGACCTATTAGCCTCGAAGAAAGTTTACCTTAATATTCCACCCTTCATGAGAAGTAAAGACCAGCTAAATCCTGATGAGGAAGATGAAACCAGGGAGATTGCATCAGTTCGCATACACGCGGAACGGACTATTGAAAGAGTGAAATACTTTAACATTCTTAAACAGATATTGCTAAATTCTATGGATGAAGATGTTGACAAAATTTGGAAAGTTAGCTAAAGTTTGCTGTTTACTGGCTAATTTCAAGGGGCCATTGGTTAAACAGCAAACGTTCCAAATTTTGTCAAATTTAAAATAACTTCTTGAATTTGTAAGAAATACAAGGTACATAGTATTGGTGTACAGGATTTACCCAATAAGTGCTTGATAAAGTAGACATGTTGTTTGAAAAAGGGAAATAAGCACCAAATAGAAAAGATTTTGACATTTCTTTAAAAAATTCTCATTGGTGGGATATGAAATGCATGAAAACAGTGTGGAGAATATGCATACTGATGCCAGGGTTTAAAGGGTTAATTGAGGAAATATGGTATTTGTAATTTGACAGTAGTAGTAGAGGAAATATTGAAACTTAATGCAAATGTATATCTTCCAGATAAATAATTTTCATGCAACATGTGAAGGTACTTAAAATATTACGGGCTTGTCACTGAGAAGTGGCCAGTTGCCATCAAAACCATCACTGACTTAACTGTAGAGGCTGGTTATTCTGCTCAGTAGTTGTTTACAAGATGTGATGAACTGTTAAAAAATTGCCACTTTTAAAAAGTCACCTGTCAACTCACAACATTCTTGCAACGCTAAATGGGTTATAAACGTAATATCAAGTTAACAAACCGATGGCTTATCTCAGTGATTACATAAATATCTGCAGGCATTGAACTTAATCAACTCTTTGCATAGTTCTTAAACCTGTAGACATTTTTTCCTGGGGTGATTATTTTCAGTCATTTATAGCAAAAGATGTTTGGGTACATACGGATTCCTCTCTTCACACTTCCAGTTAGTAGCTCAGGAACTCTTTCAAGAACTTTTTTTTTCTTCCAAGAAGCTTTTTCTTGAGTGCTTCCGAGTATGTGGGATCAAAGAAAGACTCTTTTGATGTGTATTTCTTCACGATTCATGAAATACGTGTACACAACAAAATCACACCATGGCTTTCTAGTGATTGCCATACCCCCTGAACTTGTTTATAGTATGAATGTTTTTGTTTGAGTCTGAGTCCTTATTCTGTAATCTCCAAGCAGAAATTCTTGTTGTGTTTTGCAAGAACTTTAAGTAATGAAGTTTGCTTTGTATCCACTTGTTCCTTTAGCTTTGATGGGAATAACTTGTATTTTGCCTCAAGGTTTCCAGTTGGATGATATGTATTTGTTGGATCACTGACTTCACCATCAACACTTGCAGCCAGCACAGGATTATCCTTAGCAATAACAAGGCCTTTATCTTTCACAGTGATGCCCTCATGACCATTGTTTTCTTGATGTTGAATGTATTTACCTGTGATGACTGGTTCCATTTCCAACCCCACTTGACACTAATATGGTATATTTGGCCTGCAGTTGTACTGAAACACATCCCTCACAAGCCTATCAGGGAGTGTAGTTACTCCTCTGTTACTGATTTCACCAAATGACGATGCAGTTAGTCTTCCACATCTGCATTAAAACCAATCTGAGTTGCTAGATTGCCCTCTTGTTTTTTCCTCAACAGTGTTGATACCATCTTCAGTTATTTTGATGGTTTTCATGCACTCTTTACAAATTGCTATAAAGTTCTCATCAGTTAAAACCAAGTCATCTGGGTAGCACTGTGTGGGATTGGGTATGGTAAAGTTACCAATGCTTTGAAAATCAGGATCATCATTTAAAGTTTCCTCAGAAATCATAGCTTCATCAGTTTCAGTTTCTACAATCATGCTAGTTTCAGTCTGTTGTTCAGGTAAGTTAGAAATTGCTACAGAATGGGAAATGATTAAGTCTGAAAAAAGTTGATGTCTAGTGGCTCACACTGATTTTACCCAAAACAATGTACTGGGGCTTTCTTGAAAAGATGACCTGAAGCTTCTACCTCTGTCTGAGTTTCATTTCTTTTATGTTTACCAGGTAGATAATCATTTTTACAGTTACAGGCTGCCAATCATTGCCTTGCAACACATTGAGAATTACTGCATTTGACTCCTTAGGCAAGTTTTTTTAATTCATTGTAGAGGTCCTTAATCTGCTTTTCTTGTAACCTGTAGAGCAAAGGGGGACATGATGAATATGCTTCTTTCTCGTTTTTCCTTTCAGTCCTTTTTTCAGTCTTCTTTCTTTTGTCAGCATCATAATCATGCTTTATCATCAGTATATCTTTGAAAAGAACTGGAACGTTTGAGGTTCGTTGGGTTGGTTTATGCCACTGCTGAGGCCTTGCTGTGCAAGAAGTGTTTGGAGGAATCTGCCCAAGGCCACTTTCAGAGAATTCAAGTATGGCATATAATAAGGCCCCAGCAAGTTTACAATATCCATTAGCGCCAGCTTTACAAGTGCATTGAGCAGCAACAACTTCACCTGTTTTGTTTTGTCTGACCTTTGTTCTATACATCTTGTTTCTGGTCATAGAAGCCTTTACTCTTCCATCAAAAAAGTAGAAATCATCATCAAGACATGGGAAGCCTTAAACAAAGCCTACCCTTCTCGTTTGCTTTTAAACGCCCCTTGTCCTTTTTCCCTGCTGTTTCTCCCTCCAGACAGATACGAAAATATAAAACAATGTTGAAACTTCGGCGCCTTTTGTAGGCTTAAAGTCCAGCCTTCTTTGGGCTACTCAGCAACCTTGTCATCACGTTCATTGCCAGTACCTTCGAATTGTTTTTTCCAGTGGAGTGAATTCCCCCATCAGGATCAGTTACCTTCATGTGTAGTCCACTGGAAATATAATCTTTAATCCTGAAAATTAACTATTGGCAAAAAATATTAAAAATAACCCAGCATGGATGCCAAAACACTGTACAAATGTCATGTTTACCTTTCAAGACGGTCTTTCAAGTAGTTGCACGCGAGTGCCAGAAACACTCGCCCCTCGGCACCTCAACCAACGTTTCAACTCATCGTTTTTTAACTGTTCAGGTTTCCGTCCCTCTAAAGATGCCCCAGGAACGTCGTCTTCCGTTAAAATTGTTGGTAAAGGTTTGTTCTTTGACCTATTAACATCTTTGAACGCCTCGTTTGCCGTCATTGTTTTGAATCTCCCGAGAGTGTCCCGGGAGTTTGACTACAAATACCAGCATGCACTGCGCGCGTGACGACATCATGCAAACTTGTGCTATTGAATTAATTTGGCACAATTCACAATCAGTCTTATGGGTCATTTTTTCAGTCTCCCCGCGAAAAACTAATTTTCACCGTAATAGTGGCGAGCCAATCGTTAAACTTAAACGTACACTCAACATATTGAGCGATGGCGTGTACTTTCTGAATGCATGCCTGACCCAAAGTTTAAGACTGCGTCACGAAAAATTGTACCACTAGTATCGTGCTCCAAGAATATATGTAGTCATAAAAAAACAGCTTCAATTCAGTGGTTGCGAAACAAAAATTGAACTTATTCTAGCCAGGTCCGATGTGCCTGCTTTCAAACGCCAGAAAATACTCACGACATGACTATCTGCCCGTTGCCGCCGCGTAAGCTTAGGTATTGGGTGGCGAAGGTCTAAGCGGTATGCAGTGTTCCAGGAAATCTCTCTGGACATAGTGAAGAATCCAAGAAAAATGGTGAGCGCTGTTGTACCTTGATTCAGTCGAAATTCATATTGGAAACCACTGGTTCAGGTAAACACAATCTTTCTTCGTTTGTAATACGTGAAGGAGTAACTGACTGTTTATAAATTATGACGTCATATAATACGTTCAATTAGGGGGTCACTCCCTCTCTGTCGTCCTGAAATCAGCAGACGCAGGGCCTATCTGCAGGCTGACCCGCTTTACTGGACTGAGCTCGACCAACCAGGATCTCGTCAACCTGCCTTCTCATATAAATACTACAAAACGTTTATAAGGACACAGCATGAGCAGAGCCAGCCCGATAAAGCGGGCAAGCCAGGCTAACCGGGCTGGCTCACTTCATATAAACAGGCCCTTTACCTAGCCTCTTTCCCAGACAACTCCCCCACCCTTCCACTCGTTCTCTAAAACAGGACAGTGAAGCCTAAGGAGGAGGCTCCTCTATGTTCACACTAAACCGAATAGCTTTGCGCCGGTGCGGCGGTAAAGCAAATTACAAAGTGTTCGAGAGGTTCTTGAAGCAATTGTTCCAGGACAGAGTGATAATTTATTGACCACATTAGGTGAAAACTTACCATCTGAGAGAACACAAGCCGAAGAGGAAATTTTGCAAGGCTTAGCCGAACACTATTTAAATGCAACCCCACTGGAGCACGACAAGACACATTTTGTACACCACTGCAGACAAACTGACGCATTTCATTCCCGAGGTGATGACTTTATAGATTTAACATCACGCGGTACCATAGGCTGTTGTTACAGGGGAATAGGTACGATCGGACCTAATGATATCATCAGGCGTAAGAAGGTAGATTTCGCTTAAGTTGATCATTCTCGACTTTATTACAAGTCCCCATATTGTGAAAAACATGACATGTCGCACTGACGTTAATATCAGGACGTATTGCACAGCCAGACCAATTTTACTCCGATGAGCATGCGGACACATCTCTGGGTACTAGAAGTATGCTGCCCATCAGTGCGCACGTCTCTACAGGGCTTCGATAACTTCTTAACACAAGACACTAAAGCAATAGAAGATCTTAGCGAGATAGCAGACAAGATAGCAGATCAAGCAAAGTCACAAGCCTGGGAGAAGGAAACGAAACAAACACTTACTTTCATCAACGACTTGTTTTCCTGGGTAACACAATGTAAACTACATGCATATGACGATGATCATCACTTATACTCTTCTAATGTTGACCCAGTAGCCCTAGAGGACTGTATTTGTCGTGAAGTGAGAGTTGCAAACGAGTGGTATCGCAGCGATAGAATGATTGTAAATTAGACAAAACACCAGGCTATCGTCTTGGGAAGAACAGGCCACTCCTCTTTTCCATTGAAAGATTCTTTGGATATATTTGGAACAAATATTGACAATAGCCGCTGTGTTTCGATAATTATATATCAGCTATTTGTAAAAAGATAAATAGTCTGTTTAATGTGATGTTAAGATTTCGTAAACTCATCTCTAAAGACACTCTTTTAAGATTATATAAGGCTTTAATTTATTATGCCACACTAACTATTGTTCGCGAATCACAGTGCGACTGGTTTGCTAAACCTAGCATTCCTTGGCACATCACAGTGGCTTTTACAAGATCAGAAGCAAATGCCCCGCTTGAGAAGCTCACTTTTGTCCACCTGTTTCAGAGCTGCCCTCAGGATAGCGTTTCAGTAACTGCCATTTTACAAGATGTTATTGAGACGTTAAAGAAGCATCGGCCGTAACTGCAAAAAGTGTATTGCAAACAGGACAACGCACGATGTTATCATTCTGGCTCAACATTTGTAGGAAGCAGATTAAACAGTCTTTCTGATGTCAAGGTTTAGATAGAGGTTCGACTTTTCAGAACCACAAGTGGGTAAGGGAGAAGCCGGCCGCCAGGCAATGTGACGATGTCTACTTGAACGAGGGGCACGATCTGAACAACGCTGCACAGATGAAAGCAGCCATGGAATCAAATGGAGGAATTCCTGGTCGTATTATCAAGTATGTGAAGCTTTCCGAAGTACCTGCTGCGAAGACTGTGATCAAATGGGACGGAATTAGTGCGCTTAACAACTTCCGGTTTTTGCAGAATTTAATTTGATGGTATTACAACGAAGGCTTATAACATCGGGACCGGAAAGCTGGCACCATGAAAAGACATTCAAATCTGTGGCACCTTTTCTGATACGTTCGAAGCTTAGGAGCCTCCTGATACACGTTCTTAGTTAGGCTTAGAAAAATTAATCCCAGAAAAGAAGTCCTGCAAAAATTTATGTCCGAGCAATTTAGTTTTCCAAGAGAAAGAGGAGGTAAGCGGCCTTTTTAGCCTTCCAGAAGATGGGCCCATGTATTCGGACAAGCGAGTGTTCGAAAAGGAACACCAATTCAGGACAGGGCCAGGAGAAAATACTCTGCAAGAGTAACTGGAGAATAAACGAAAGTTCCAGCTGTTGGTTTATATACGGCATCAGAACGCTCAGTAGTAGAACTACTTTCCCCACTGGGATGGACTCTTAAAAAAGCAGGGAGTAGAACTCAGTTTACAGAAGGACAAAGAAAGTTCCCGACAGACCAGTTTCTTATCGGGGAGGAGTGTGGTAAAAAGGCAGATCCACAACAGGTATCGCAAGAGATGCGAAGAGTCAGGGATGACACAGTGCTCGTCTATTTAGTGAAAAAGATGTCCTATCGCCCAGCAGGTGGCAGGTTTCTTCTCAAGACGGGACGAACATACGGAAAACGTCAGTGACACCGTGAACGAAGAACGTAAAAGTGAAGACGAAGAGCAGCAGAGTGCAGTCGAGGCAGATGCCCTACATTTGCACCTACAGGCAATTGTAGAAGAAGAAATTGCTTTACGTCACCCGATTGTCGCCCTTTCGTGTAACATTTGCAATTTGGTTCATACAAAAAACTTATCTACCTTACCGGTTGCTATGCTGAGGGTCATTTGTGAAGGTGTTGGCTTAAACGTAAATGAGGTCTCGGGGAAAAGGAAAAAGCCACTTACAGGTCGTATTACGCAGGTCGTTAAGGAGTGTAAAGAGTTGACGATCAAAAAGAGAGGCAACCACGATCTCTATTCACCTATTGGGATGATACCAAGCTGTAAAGAAGCTGAGATTTTGGGTGTTACCTTCCAATGTGACAGCAAATTTTCAGTGCACGTGAAGAACAAACTTATTAAAGCTAACAAATCCCTACATATCCTTAGAACGCTGCGCAAAGAAGGGTACAATCAGTCAGAAATAGACCTTCTCTTTAATACTATAGTGCTACCTAATATTAATTACGCATTGTCTGTCTAGGCCGCGTCCGAGTCCGATCTTACACCCGTACAATGTTTCTTAGACCGCTGTTTTAAAAGGAAATATACGTCTAAGCCTCTAAATGTTTATGATTTCTTAGAGAGGCAAGACCGTAAAAATTTCAGAGAACTTTCCAATGCCAAAGGACATCCATTTTTATCTATTATGCCTCGTGTTAAACCCTCCAGCTACAATCTTAGGAAAGAAACTTGTTTTAAACCTAAGATTAACACTATGCGCTTTAAGAACTCTTTTATTAATCGTTTAGTTTTTAAATATGAATTAGCTATGTAACATACTAGATATATACACCGGTATATATATTTTTTAATTCTTACTTTTTAACTTTTTAAAATTTCTTACACTTACTTGTAACAAAAGATATGTATTTTTATCTCTTGATGAATAAAGACTTTATTTTATTTATTTCTTTTGCTCGAGTGTGATCGGTGTAATGCTAAAAACCGATTAGAAAAGACGCATACAGATCATACCTATCTCTATTGCAGCAGTCAGGCTAAGAAACGCTAAGCTTCTATCCATTGTTTTACCTAATTACAACTATAGCTTTTAGGGACTGCAGAGCTGTGATCAATCTCAAAATTTTCCGGGGGAACATGCCCTTGGACCCCTCTAGACAAACTCGCGCCTTCAGCACTCTTTAAGCTCCTGCTACGTGTGGGTTAGCCCCACCAATTCAAAATAGAACCGCGGTCCCTGGATAATCCCACCTTATGAAAACGCGGAACTGCTGTCCTGTCATTGCAAAGTTAATGTCAAACGTTATTCTTTGCTGACTCGATTGTAGACAATTACCGCCTAAGTACGGTGCTTTTCTTGTTGCTTTTTCTTTACATTGGGTTTAATTATTTGGCTAATCTAATATATAAAAATTTGATTTTTTAGTGATAAGCAGTGTAAAAATATGTGACGGTCCATTCCGTAGCGGTGACTTCTGTTTCTCCTGTCTCGGTAATGTAGGACATCCCAATACGGCGGGAGCGAAATTGTCCTCACTTTAGGAAGTATTTGCGAACAAATTACTAAAGATCCCAGACAAATAAAATTGCAGAAAGTTAAACCTTTCCTTTAAAGAAGACGAAAAGGTTTCCTGGCGAGATTCGTTGCGTATCGCGGGTATTTCTGACATGT